TAAATACTGGATGATTTCACTCATATGTGGAATATAAAGAAACAAAAACAAAGGAACAGACAAAACTAAACCAAAACAAATCCTAGAAATCTGACTGCAGAGCTGATGCAGCCAGAGGGGGTGGGGGTGGGGAAAGGAAGTAGGGAGCAAAGGGGAGGGGAACAGTGAACTAAGGTGAAGGATTATGGGGGCTTTGGTGGTGGGTGTGGTGTGGTGACAGACATTTGAAGAGGTGTGAGCCTGTACCTCTAAAACATATAGTGTTTCAAACCAATGTTACCTCAGCAAAATAAATATTTTTTAATTTAAAAAAATCTAGTGTTTACATTACTGAATTCTCACACCAGGATCTTAAGGTAAATTCTGTTATTTTTCCTGTTGTACAACAGAGGAAATAGGGGCTTTGTGAGGTGAAGTAACATGTACAAGCTCACACATTTAGGAAGTGACTGAGCTCAGAGTTGAACACAAGACTTGCCTGACTCCGGAGTCTGTGTTCTGTTGACTGAAATAATCACCACTATGAGGCAAATTCAAGGTTTGGTATAAGAGAAACTTATGAAAGAAATTATTCAGAGCTGAACTGAGGACCCTAGCCCTGGAGAACAGGTTTCTCCAATGACTCGCCCCCACCTTCAGAGTTTTTGGTCTCCATTTAGATAGGAAAGGGTACAGAAAGACTACACATTTTGTTCTTAACAAAGGAAAAAGGCATCTATGGTTTCAAATATTTTCAGATAACTAAAGGAGGTTGGTGTCTAACAAACTTAGCTTATGGTAAAGAAGCACGATTCATAAATTTACAGCCATCCAGAGAGTTAATTTACAGAGTTAATTTAATTTGGTTACAGCTGTCCGTGTTTAGGAAAATGGAGGGAGCAAAGGTTACTTGAAATCCCTTATCCTAAAAGTATCCCTAATGGTTTCAGGAGACAATGAGGCCTTTACTCACGCTCCTTCTCACAACTTCTAAACCTGGCAGGGACCAGCTGACCGTGGAAGGTTCCTGTACTTTTCAGCACAGGGCTCTTCCAGCAGATGGGAGCCACTGTCTTACTGACTTCAGCAGCCTCCAAGGTAGCTCTTTTTCTCTTCACAATCTTAATATCCACTCTGGGAATCCTAAATCAAAATGTCTAAAGGCACCAGGCAGGAACAAAAAGGAGTGTCACAGGCCAGGGAGAAGTCTTGGGAGAGTGGGGAGCTGCACAGCCTGCACCAACCTCAAGAAGGTCCCTCTTTGCAGCAATAGTCAGTCATTGCCTTATGGGAATATGGCCCACTGAGACCATTTTCTAAGAGCAGCATGAAATCTGGAGTTTACATGAAATGTTCCAACTTTCCAATGTTGGATAAGGACTCAAATATTTTTAGAAAAACTTTGTGCAGGCTGAAAATTGGCATCTGCACTCCACTGTTAGGTAGGAACTGTTGTTCCCTGCTCCTCAGGTTTCCCAGGGCAGGAATTTCAGCTAGATTCCCTCTTACCTCTCATCTTTCCCTTCTGATTAGTTCATTTCTGAGAGGAACTAGATGTGCTCAGCTAATCTTCCTCCTTGGGAGCCAGCCTACCCATGGGGAATGCTTTTATTTAATTTTTTATTAATATATTTTATTTTATATAATTCTTACATAATTTTTCATTTTTGCACAATATATGCATTTTCATTTTGGTTATATTCCCCATTGGTTCCACCCCCCTTATTTTGACCCTAATCTCTCCCCTCCCCTCCTCCCCTTGTAGTGTGTCTCTGGTTTACAGTTGCTTGTTGATTTTGATTTTTACTTTATTGTAATTCGTCTTTTTCCTGGTCCCTTATTTAGGTTTTCTAAATTCCTGCTATGAGTGAGACCATCCGGTATTTTTCTTTTTCTTTCAGGCTTATTTCACTGAGCATGATCCCTTCCAGCGCCATCCATGTTGCTGCAAATGGCATGAGTTTATCTTTTTGAATGCTGCGTAATATTCCATGGTGTATATGGACCACACCTTCTTGATCCAGTCATCTGTTTTTGGGCATTTGGGTTGTTTCCATAGCTTAGCTATTGTAAACAGTGTTGCTATAAACATAGGGGTGGAGGTGCTCTTTGGAATTGATGTTTCTGTGTCCTTTGGGTAAATACCTAGGAGTGGAATTGCTGGATCCTATGGAAGCTCTATGTTTAGTAGGTCCAGAAATCTCCACACAGCTCTCCATAGTGGTTGGACCAGTTTGCACTCCCACCAGCAGTGCAGGAGAGTTCCTTTTTCTCCACACCCTCGCCAACATTTGTTGTTGCTAGTTTTTTTAATATGTGCCATTCTCACTGGTGTAAGATGGTATCTCATGGTAGTTTTGATTTGCATTTCCATGGGAAATGCTTTTAAGACTGGGTGGGAAAGTCCATCTGTTCACAGCTAAGGCACTTTCAAAGCAAAGAGAAAGCCACATTCTCCAACCCACTTCCTGTGGCTGCCATAACAAAGTACCACCAAATGGATGGCTTCAAACAACAGAAATTTATTGTCTCCTTAGTTCTTCAGGCAAGAAGTCCAAAATTAAGGAGTCAGCAGGTCCATACTTCTTCTGGAGAATCGTTTGCTGCCTATTCCAACTTCTGGTGCCTCCCAGCAATCCTGGCACCCTCTGGCTTGCAACTGTATCACCGAGGTCCACCTCCATCTTCCCAAACATTCTCCCTGTGTGCCTCTGTTTTCTTATAAATACATCAGTTACAGTGGACACTTAGGGCTCACTTAATGCAGCATAACCTCATCTTAACTAATCACATCTGTGAAGACTTTTTATAAATAAAGTCATTCTGAGGTTCTGAGGTATCCATCCAGTCCCAGCATCATGAATGGGAACAGCAATGAGTGAGCTGAGCAGCCCCTGGCATGCTCCAGGGCTCCAGGCTCAGAGCCTGACACTCTCTGCCTTCCTTTTCCATCCCTCCCAATTCTTGAACTCCTAATATACTCTAATAAATTCAGTTTTGACTAAAAATAGTTAAAACAGATTTTACTGAGTGTTCTCTAAAACTTCCTCAGCTCTCCACGTGCTCCATTTATTAAACCAAAAAAAAAAAAAAAGTTCCAAAATATATTCCCTCCCACCTCATTAATACTGGACTCGATTCCTTAAACTTAATGTGTTAGAAGTTCAACGCATTAATTTTGTGTTAGCCCTTTGAACTATCAAAATTAACATCAAAAGTTGAAAGTTCAAAATGTTCTCACTATTGAATTTCTTAACACTACCTTTTTTTCTTTTTAAAAGGCAATGTTAAAATATGTGCATGAGAAAATCCATGCGTTGGCTGCATGCCCAATTTAATCTATGTCCCTGCTTCTTTTATTTCTGTTGGTGTCAGCAGAAGATGAATTTCATAGAGGGGAGTTGAGGGAGAGGCCAGTGCCTAAGACAGTGTAAGACACAGAGGGGTTCAGTATACATTTGCTGAGTGGGTAGATCAGAAGTGGGTGCCCAAAGGAACTATGCGAACAGAGGGAACCATTGAGGTTCCCTCGTCCCCACTCCCCATACCTGGGAAACTGTATAGGGGTCCCATTCACCTCCAGACCATTGCAAGCTGACATTACTGCAACTGCCCTCTTCCTCTGCATTCCCCTATGCCAGGATTTCCCCAGTACAATCAAGAATGATATAGGTTGACCACATATCAGTCCCTAAAGAAATGAGATCTATGTCCTGACTTAAGAATAGTGTCTAGAAAAAATATGCATAAACAAACACAGCTTACTACTTGATGTAGTGTATCATTATTGAAGTAACTGGCCTGTGTCACAAATGAGAGTAATCCAAGTGTAAACAAGGATCCACAGGTGCAAAGCAATGACTTTGTCCCAGATCCAGACTTGTTCACAGTAATGCTGATGTTGTCACTGAGCACTGACTCCATGTCATGCCCTTCTCTGATGCTGCTGCCTATAAAAATTCACTTGATTTTTACATTTCTCTGATAAGTAGGAACTATTATTCTCTGGACTCTTGGTTTCCTCATTTCTAACAATGGAAATAATATTTGTTACTATATGTCTGTTGTGGAAACCCAGTAAGTTAATGCATTGCATGTAGTAAGTGCTTGATACATATTAGCCTTCCACCTTACCATTGTTAATGTGTCCTTACTTTAATAGATTAGGAAACTGAGAAACAAAGTGAAGTAAATGGCCCAAGATCCACAGCTATTAAGTGGACAAGCCAACATATAAACTCCGTGCTATTATAAAGAAACTGCTGGATCCTGGAATCCATGAACACCTCATGGAAAGTAAGCTATGAATTACTCCCATCAAAATAGTGAAAGGAAACAAGTCAGCTGCTATTAGAAATGGAATCCACCAGAGGTCAGTAGAGGTATGCATTATAGCCACATGGTTGGAACCCAGGGTGTTTTAAGACATTAGACAGAGAAAACTTAATTGCAGATATCATGCTTCTTGTTAAAGAAGAAATTGATACAAAGTACTTTTCTGTTACCTTAAAGTATAGAAGATTGCTTCAAGGATTGATATATATATATATATATATATATATATATATATATAAGTGACTGGTTACAAGCAAATGAAAGGACTTTCTTTCATCTGTCAACGCTCAATGGACCCTTGTTATCACTCCTCTGAGCCTGATACTGCCCTAGGGTGAGGGGTCAGGGGTTACCAGGTATAAAAGTCAATGAACAATGATTGGCAATGTCACACGACACTGCCTTGACACCCCTGCGCACCCTCATTCTGAAAGATTATGCCACAATCTAGGCTTGGCCTTGGCTTGACCCAGGGGCTAGCAACAAAAAAGACATCGATGGTTTCAGTATATCTTTGGAGCAATTGGATGAAACTGAATTTAGAGAAGATAAATTTAGAGAAGAGTGTGGTAAGGGCTATGTGAGCGCCAAAGTGCTCTCACTCCCTTTCTCTCTTGATATATCTGTGTGTCTCCATGTCACATTTGAATGCGTTCTTTTGACAAGTGATTAAGAAATCCAGGTAAAGAGGATATAAATGTTTTAATTATTGAAATACACTGGTTGATTGAAAAATTTACACTGCTCTACCGAGTGGACACACGTGCTTATTAGCAAATTAAGAACTTTCCAAACATCCTACTAACCATTAGTCACAAGTCTTCAAAAATAGTATCGAATGAACGTGATGAGATGCCGTGAACACACCGAGGGCACGCGGGCCGCTCGACGCCAGTGAAGCCTGGGCCATCCCAGAAGCCTCGGCTAGCGAAGATAGGAAGCTAATCAAGGTATGCGAATGGCATGCACGTTTCCACAGTTTATTTTTAAATGTTGCCATGTAATACAACGTCCCTATGCAGGAAATTCTGACATTTAAATAACTGAAAATCAAGCCGTGGAAAAGGGAAAGCAGTCACAGTGAGAATCAAATGAACAATTTTACAGCTGAAAATTAACGTAAAGAAGAGTGAAAGATCACAGACAAATACATTACCTTTGGTAATTTATTTATAGTGCCTTATTGTTTTAAGTTATAAATAGAATAAGGATTTCATCATATAAAACTATCAAAAAGTATCAGTGAAAAGACATGATCTTCATGAGCCAGGCACATGGCCAGGACATAGGTGGTGGGGGGCCCACAATAGCCGGAGCCCAGCAGACCCAAACAGCATCAGCTCATCTGTTACAGATGTACCACAGAAAGTTCCACGTCCGAGTGTATTGTTGGACCAATTCCTACCTAGGACAACAGCCAACACGTGCTCACGGTTTTAACTAGACTCTAGACTTAAGACTATTGGGGAAGGTGGGTGGCCAGGAGAACAGGAGAATGTTTAGAATTTCTTAGAATGTCTGTGCCCGTTCCAATGTCCCATGGGAAGAAATTCTTTCCAGATCTTGATAAGGGTGCTATGAAGACAACAAGCAGAAAAAGGAAAAGAATTAGCGGGCTTGAAAATGTACAACTTTGATAAAAAAATATACCAGCGTTAAGCCTATAAATACCTTGCTGACTATGTAAGTAAAACATGTGTTCAATGTTTACTTTAGATTAACTTAAAATTTAATATGTGGCCAGTGTGGTGCTAAACACAGATGATCTTTATATAAAGGGACAAATTCCAGGGGAGATGGAGACTAGAAAACTTGAGATGAAGTGCAACATGGTAACACCCCATGTCTCCAGTTAGACAGGCTGCTCGGCTACCACCTCATCCCTTCTGCACATGGTCAGGCCCTCCTGGGAGAGGTACAGCCATCACATCGATCTTCCTCTCCCAGGAGGGACTGGGTAGTTAGCACATCATAGGTGACTAAGTGCTATTATTTAAGCTCCCCTGAGCTAGAAGCTCTCCACACATCTAAGTGGGGCATAATTTTCACCCTTTAGTCCTCTGTGGCAGAACCTATACATCTGTATCATGATAAAAGTAGTTTTAAGAGATTCCGAAATCATTCCACATTTGTTTTCAGAAAGTTACCAAATCTCTTTGAACTTTAGTCAACAAGCAAGTCCAGTAGCTTTATTTCTAGAGTGATTTCACAAGCTCTGTCAAAAAAATGTGTCTCCATCCTTTCCACAAAATGTCTTTCTCTTCAAAGGTTTAGTCCTCATCAGGGTGTGTGCCCGATAATTTAAAGCCAAGAAAGTCAGGACTTCAGACAGATTGGAGAGAAGGACCACCGAGGACCTTTGAACTAAAGCAAAGTACAGTCCTTCAACTTAGAGCATGTTTCAGGCAATTCATAGGAGGCAAAAGAAAGTCTAGATCAAATTTATTTTTAGTAGTTACAGAATGAGGAAAATTGAGGAGAGGGATGGGAATAAAATAATGTATATTTATAGCCATGTGCAGTAAGGAAATATTCTAGCTAGCTGTCTAAAGTTATGTGGGCTGGCTTAGCAGCAATACTCATAAAATGTTATCAGGGAAGCACGGGAGGGTGAGAGAATTCACCAGAGCCAGAGCGGGAACAGAACAGGCAGACTGACGAAATCCACTGCTGAGGGGAGCAGCAGGCACGGCAGGAGAGGTCTGCACGCCATGTGGGACCCTCGTCGGCAGCCGGGGAATCAGGGAATTTTAGAACCACACACAAAGTTGATAATTTATCTTGCATAACTCTCCCATGAGAAACTGAAACTGAGGGAGGCTAGGAGAAGGGAAGAGATGTGTCTAAGATCCAGTGTTAATAGCAGAGCTTCTGCGTGACCTGACAGCTGTCTACACAGCACCCCGTTCCTCTATCCCCAGATTTTTTAAAATATATCCTCTTTGCAGGAGGGTAAACAGTAATGTGTGCTTATTTCAACTAGATTACCTTTCCCGCCGATGTTAATAACAAAGGAATACCTGCACAGGGAAAAACTAGCAGGGAACTTAGACATCTATATGGAGGTTTAGAACTCTATTAAAAATACTAGAAATAGGAAATCTCCAACAATTTCACAAAGAGAACTCAACATCCTAATACGGAATTTGTCATTACCTAGTTATGAGTAACTAGTTAATAAATCTCCAAAATGCTGCTGCCTTATGATAATATCTTCAAAGAAGTGACATCCAGAGATGGGTATAGTTCTTATTAGGAAGAATTTTGTGCCAGTTTCTGTGTCCTTCCCACAGTGGGAAAGCTCATTTCTCTGCCTGTAAGTTTATTCAATGAGCCTTCCCCATCCAAAGCACCAGCTCCAGTATTGTATCTAGGCAAGAAGTTGGTTCTCCATCTAATCAGTACTGATCTGATTTGATCTACTAGATGGCTACCAATGGCTGGACTGCCAGTGGCTGGATTCTGATTACTCTGATGATGATGATGATCGTGAAGCTCACGATCACAGCAATGAGAGCAGACACTATCACTTGTTCCATATTTAATCCTAATAATAACCCTTCATTCAAGCATTAGTTCTATTTCACAGATTACAAAATAGAGGCTGCAAAGCTAAAGTAACTTGCCCAACTAGCCAGTGAAATACAAATCCAAGGCTGCCAAGAATGGGCTACCTCGGGAGACAAGAGAATTTCTGATGACTGAGATTCAAGAGGTCGGATGTCAGTCAGCAATACTGAAAGCTGGGATCTAGTAATGATCAGAGTTAGACCAAGTGAACAAAGAGTCTTTGCCTATGTGGATCTGTTGCTCATAATTTTTAGAGACTGGTACATAGAAAGTGGTTAGTAAATGAAAGTCACTTTTTCTTCTGTCCTGATTCTTGCTCATCTTATCATTATTCTAACTCCAAGCTCTTGACCAGGATCCCAGATGCCCAGTGCTTCACCTTTTGGATAATCATTTCTTCTGTCCACACTGAGCATGTTTTATAATACCCAACCTGTAACTTGGCCTATGATTTCATTCTTCTTCCTGAAAATGAAGAAGGCCTATGATTTCATTCTTCTTCCTTGGCCTATGATTTCATTCTTCTTCCTGCATCTCTATATATTAATGATTACCTATCTCCATCAGAGTTTAGGTACCAATACTTTTCTTCTCTGTATATTAACTAATCCCAGGCTATTGCCAAACAATTAACATTGATCCTAATCTATTTACCAGTCCTAGCCTCTCCAGTATCTCCCCGACATTTCCAAAGTCCTAACCTTGTTGTTTCAGGTGGACACTTAGTTTGCTCTTATTAAATAAAGTTGCATTTTAAACTAAATGAAACGGTGGGGGGTGGGGAAGAGCAGCAAAGACAATAGATCAAGCCACTGAAAACCTCTTTATAATAAAACATGTTCAATTCTACAGGCTTCACCCCAAATAAGACGCCCCCCTGTCTTGAAGTTCAAGACTTTTTTCAGAAATCCATAGCAATACTAGCTATGTTTCTTCCATTGTCAAGGCTAAATATATAACATTATTTAGAAAGATATACAGTACCTCTTGGTCATGAGTCATGATACTATTTTCTTCTAATCTTAAAGAGAAAATTAAGAAAAATTAAATGGTCACAGAATAAAAAATATATTCCAAGTTCATATAAAACTATAAAAAGTAGTGACATGTGTAACTGCTAATCTAAATCATAGACAAGAAGCAATTGGCAACAAATAAACATAAAATGTTAAAAAATAATGTAGTGCTGCCTTGTGTGCATATTAGATATATTAATATTCCTTCAATACTACATATTAGAGGATTGTACAACTGTACAATCAGCACTCTTTACTACCAGCTTCCCTTAAAGATTTACTTAAGCAAGAAGCTAGTGACAAGGCTGTAGTCATGCTTGTTAGCAAAGGGGCTTCATTAGCCCCACAATTACTATTAAAACTTGGAAAAGAACCCTCATTTCATTATACACAGGCAGTCATTTTTCCTGCAACCCCCAGACTAATATCAGTGAGTCATCTTCAAAACATATTACAAGAATTTACCATTCTGTTCTGCAAAAACTTAGTGAAATGTTACCTTTCATTTTCACACTCATCATCACTGAAATTAGCAAATAATTTAAAATATCCATGGAGCATAACCACAAACGGATGCTATCTTTTTTGCTCTGGAATTATCCCATCTTCTCAGCACCACTTTCACCAAATGATTACAACATACAGATACATGGCTTTTTTACACAGTTCGCTGCAACTAAGTAATAAGTAGGTTGAGTCAGACAAGCTGAAATACAAGTTTTATATTTTTTCACAAAACATAAAAATAGAGACAATAAATATCACATTTTACTTACTTTTTCGTACAGTCTTTGTTTGGTTGGAGACTATATTGACAGCTTCAGATGGTAGGCCAACATACACCCCTCCGTAGTTTCTAAAAGAAAAGCAGCAGATAAGAAAAGTCAGATGGATGGAAAGGGTACTTTATCTCTGCAGAGGACTTCAAACAATTATAGAATTGTTTATATTAAACATCGGATAACTTGATGTTAATATAAACAATATTATATTAACTTGATATATTAACTTGATGTTAATATAAACAATATTATATTAAACATAACTATAAACATAATGTTTATATTAAACATTAACTGACTTTAAAAGTTAAAGTCAGGATACTATTGTCCTTGAACATACAACTATTTTTTTTATGTTAATAACAGTATATGTATATAAATGTATATATCAAGAGGGGGAAATTGTATTAAGTTAGTACAATTTTTAGATATTCTACTTAAAACGAGAAATGGATGTTATCATTTAAATAGGAGAATGGCAGGATACTGTTAAATCAGTCAATATTTATCAAGAATTCAGAGAGATCGACATGGTATCAGGTGCTATGGACACACCAAAAAAACACTGTCCTATTGGCAGACAGAAACACAAAAGGTAGGAAGAGAGCTAAGGAGTAGAGGGCAATGAACCAGGGTGGGGATGAGAGGACACAGGAGGCTGAGAGAATGAAGGGGGAGTCCCCCAATCATGAAAACTAACACTTCCAATGGTCAAAGGCCACAAGATTGAAAGGCCATGTGAGGACAAAAACCAAGCCTGCCAGACCGAAGCCAAGATTGTGGATTCTGGGCAAGTTCTTTTTCATGCTCCTTCCTGTATCCTCAGCGTCAAATGTTTTCCTGGTGGAATCTGTATTATTGAGAATGTGCTACAGTGTTCAATTAAATCCATGACTTAAATTAATCCATGACATGTTAAATCCCTAAGAGGTGGTCAAAATTATTCACATTAAAGTCAGTCTCGGTACCAAACATACCTCCTCTTGTCGTCATCTGTTATCGATTCTTCGGCTCTAGAAGGTGAAAAATATTTTCTATTAGACTTCAGTTTTGGTCATGAGAAAAAGGGGATGCTGAGTTAAAGTCAATTTTATTTATATTTCAAGTTCTTCCATAGAGTATTTCTGTAACATAGTCTTCTGTTTCCATCTCAGTCACTCATGCATTAAAAAAAAAAACCAGAGATAATTTTCTACTTACCAAAAGCCCAACTGTTCAACAAAGTAAAAAGCTGAGGGCAGCCAAGATTGGAAAGAGCACATGAATTTGGAGCTAGGAAGACTGGGCTCTTATCTGGGCCACACCACCCACTCCCTGTGTGACAGACAGACAGGCTGTGGGCCAATCGCCTGCCTGTAAGACACCTGTAAGTTAAGGGGGTCGACCAGATGACCGCCGAGGTCCCTTCCAGAGCTTACACATGACAATTTTGTGTTCCTCATGCCAGTTCAGGGACACTACAGTAGGCATGTAAGATTTCTTCAGCAAAAAAGGCAATGCCAATTTTATTTCCTTTTATCTAAAAAGCTAGTCGTCTTACACATGATCTACTGCAAAAAGGAGGAAATATTTTAAAGGAAGTATATAGAGGAAATCACTACTTTAAAATGCACAGCCTCCTTCCTTGCATAAAAGAAATCCACCTTCTATTAAATTCCTTGGCCCGTTTCACAGAGGCTCAGGAAGCACTCCATGAGCACAAGCTAGCGTACATCAATTTTTTTTTCTGAAAGAACAAAAAAATTCAACAAGAACCCATTGTATCCAACTGAACTCAACATGTAATTCTAAGGGCCTTCAGTCAAGAAGAAAGCAATCTGAAAACATCTAGCCAGCTTCACCAAATCTTCTAAGAATTGTCTCAGGTGGTCTCAGCCATTCAAAAAATGTACATTTTTCAAATGTAAACATACTTGAGCTTCTGCCTCACTGTAGCAGCCAGTAAAGGGAAGTGTATATAAAGAGGAAGTGTCAAGTGGCAGTGACCTGGTGAACATGGGCCATGCACGCGGCTCATACTCCACAGTGTAAAATCCACCTGAAGCTCTAAATCATCCAAATTGAGCACATCACCTAAAGGTGCCAGATAATTATCAGCTTCATTTATTTCTTGCTAAAGTTGGATCGTTTTTTAATTCAAAGGTGTAAAAGTCATACTGTATTAGAAATGGTGTGACGCCTGCTGACTGAAGTAGTGTAACAACATTGTTCACTACTTTCAATTAAAATGGATGTATGACCCATTGGCACAAGTTAACCCATATGGCACAGCAGACCTCTCCTGTCTCACCCGCTGCTCCCCTCCGCAGTGTATTTCAGTCAGCCTGCCTGTTCTGTCCCCAACTTTGGTGGATCCTCTCACACCCACACCTCCGGTCTGTACCCCGGTTCTTGTATGCATAAATAAATAAATCTTTTAAAAAAACTGGACAACCAAGTCCAGTTTGAGGCTAAATCAGAAATACAGTGGTTGGTCTAAAATGAATCCCCCTGTGGACATACAGGCATGAGCTGTTATATATTTGGCTGTCCTGCTGGGTCTGAGAGGACAGCATCTTACCAGCAGGAACGGAGTGGTCCTGTCTCAGCTGCACAGGTAGCATTAGCCAAAGGAAGGGCTCGCAAGGAACATTAAAGCTCCCTCATAAAAGGAGGCCTGGTGATGCTAAGCCAAAGGCTCTGAAAAGCTGGTGCAATGGCCTCATGCTTACTCGTGGCTCCATGTTGGGGCTATTGGAGGAAGGAGACACTAAAAATCTCACCTTCTGGTGTAGAGGACTAACTTCTCTGACATACCATTTCTTGTTGACAAGAGACCTAGGTATTATCTTCAGGCAGTTCAAAACTAGGAAGTTAAATATATCTTACCACTAAGCAACTTAGCAAGTTCTGAGATTCTTGTTCTTGGGGAAATTCTCAACTTCTGAACAAAGCTCAGGCTGTTTGAAGAGCTGGGCTGCCCCACCTGTACATCATTTTAAGAAATCACTGGTTTTTCCCCTTATAAAACACATGTTGACGATTTTATTTATCAACTGGTCTAAATTATCCATTTGCTGATATTCTTCAGGTCTTCTTGTAGACCGACAAGCACCAAAGAGAATGTCTGAGGCACTTGGGATAATTAAGGGTCACACAGGGAATTGTGTCATTTGAATCAAAGGCAAGTAAATTTTACATTTTGAAGGCTGGGCAGCCTTATTTTTAAGCACATGTGCCGTTTCTGAAGCTATGTAAACAGTCTGTGGTCTTCCCTCACCCCTAATGATGCAGGAAGTCAGGCCCAGGGCCTGGTCTGGCCAAGCAGCCCCACCACAGAACTCTCAGATGAGCCACATGTTTCTCACCAATGACTTGATTGTTTTTCCTTTGCTGGCCACTATAGCTTGAGTGAGAGGGCAGGGCCATAGCATGGACTGCGAGGGACTGTCAAATGTGTTCCCTAAACCAATGAAGGAAGAAGTGGGGAAGAGAGGGCAAAACACAAAGACACACCTTCCCCCGGCTTTATGAGAACAGCTGACACTCAGAGAGCCCAGAAGTTTCTCCAAAACAGGCCTCATTACCCTATTCTCTGCCAGTACTAAGGCAGATCAGGAAGGGCACAGAAAGAGATGGATGACTTCATTCTTAAATCTTCCCTCAGAGCTCAGAGCCTGAAGATTGAATTATTCCATGCTGGAAAAGATAACGTGAAAATGAGGCCAATTCACAGTGGATGACCTGGAAGCAGGCCAAACGGTCCCGCTGCACTTGATGACACTCCTCGGGAGCCAATTGACCCTAATATCCCACAGACTCAGCCTCGCCATCACCTTGCTCCTTTAGGAGAGCAGAAAGTGAGCACCCATCCCCACCCCGGAGGGTGAGTGTCCATCACAGTCAGCCTCTTCTGAAGAGCCGTTCTAGAATGTAGTTCAGGAGCCAATGCCCAGCTTTCGACAAGCAGAGGCACTGAAAATGAGAAATGTGAGAGAAGGGATTTGGGGACAACAGAGCACCCCTGAATCTACCAGAGGTGGGAACGGACCTTGTGAAGAAGGTTTCTGCCAAGAGGACCTAAACCGTTACAAGAGCGAAGGGCACAGGTACCAACAAAATCCCCTAAAAAAAAAGTCAGAGGTGCTTCCCCTCCCTGCCTTGGCCCCCAATTACACCATCAAGGTGCCAGGGGCCCAGGTCAATGAGGGGGAAGGGCCACCTGCACAGATGACCAAGGCCATGGGGGCACAGCACCGCCAAGCCTGCCAGGACAGCAGAAAGCTCTGGGCTGGAGAGATGGGGAAATAAAGTCAGCTCTTCACTCCTCACCTCTGCGAATGTGGGCGCTTCTAGGGCTCTTGCCAAAGGAAATAGGAAACAGAAGAGGCTACCGCAGCTGTGTCTAATCTAATGAGGGACTAAAGGCAACAAAATACTCCCTGCAACGTGGAACGGAATCTGAATGAGCTAACAGAGCAGGGCCTTCCGCGTTCCATGGTTGTGATGCCCTGACCTCACAGCCGAGTGCACCAAGACACGAGTGCCAGGGCCTGCCCTGAGTCCTGGCCTCCCCAGCTAAGGCACAGGAAGGGAGAGAAAGATGAAGAAAGAGGCAGGTGGCTGGGATTTTAGGCTTTTTTTAGTGGTATGAGCAGCCACATATTTGAACGATTTCATGGTCTGAAATGGCTGAGATTTAATTATATTTTAAAAGGACCGCTGGCTAAAGTTTTCAGCTCTCCATTACGTGTCACATGTGCCTGAGTGTCAATGAGGGAAGGAGAGAGGGATGTAGGGAGAGAGAGAGAGAGAGACAAGGAGATGCACCCACAGGGAGGCTCTGGATCTAGGAGCTGGGAGCCAAGTCTAAACCATCCATGACAGCTGAGCCAAGACCAGTCTGACAAGGAAGACTTAGCTTGTGTAGACCAAAGAGCAAAGGGAGAAAGTCCTTCTCCGGAGCCTGCACTTGTTTCAGTGAGGAGTCATTTCGTTTCCAGTTCTGCAGAAGCCGCTGTTGTAAAAGAGGAAATCTGTGTGACACACTTGTTTTTCCTTCGAGGGGAACATGACAGAAGATGGTGAAGAGCTTTCTGCAGTATTTATTTCTAATCACAGACATTTATTTGAAAATTTGTGAAGTGATGTAATATTGGCAAAAAAAAAACCCCCACTGTTAATAGTAAAGTATTTTTTAATCTTAAAATCACACACCAGTTTACGAGGAAACCTTTTAAAGTCACGAGAATACGTCCTAACACATAGAACACGTCTGAACAATTTCGAACCAGGTTTCAAAAAATACACTGGGTAGGTCATTAAAATTGGGCTCTTTCCTTTAGCAAAGATTCAGCTTCTTTTATCAAAGAACAGGAGTTGGAGGAGAAAGACCGTGTGGAGGGTCCAGCCATCCAGCTGGCACCAGGGTGCTCTCCAGAGTGAGATCATACGCCTCTGGGCTCAGACACACTCCTGGGCACAGGGTCCCCGAGAACATCTGCAGACACAAGCGTTACTGAGGGTGGGTCACCAGAGTCCCCAGCTTTGGAGATTGTTGAAAAGATAAATCTTCAGTTGATGGTTTAAAAATGACTCACCCTTGCAGGTAAATACTGCTTAGTGATGACTATCTCACCCGAGGTGGCCCAGCCCACCCAGGGCCAAGTCAGACAGAGAAAGAAAAGAAGAAAGTAGAAAGCAACAGACTCCCAGCAACCACAGCACTAAACTTAGAGTTGGGCGAACTTCAGGTTTCAAACTGCTTTCTTGTGTCTCAGAGTTTCCATCAAAGACTGTAGCCTATTTCCAGTGAACCAGCAAGGTCCTCTCCCTCAGCGTCTCAGCTTGAATATCTATATTGATCCAGATGCTCTAAGTAATTCCACATCCATCTGCTTCCTGTTAGCTTTGGAGACCTTTTCTAAATGAAACACAGTGACTGATTTCTCTTTGACGGTAAATAAGCTCTGACTTTTTAAAAGTCAAAATTCCAGGCAGGGGGCTGCCTTAAAAGCAGCCCCATGTCTTGGTGGCTCTTTCGGGTGGGCTGGCTCTCTTCTGCATGCCTACTTCCAACCCAATATCCATGGAGAACACTAAATCCTTTCAATCCGTTTATACGACCGTGATTATCATCTTATCACTGTCACTTTCATTAAGAGAAACCTTATGAGCAGCAACTCTATCAAATGTAAACCACTCTTCCGCAGTCACACATTGGGACCCAAAGTATTGT